ATAATATTATTTATACCTATCAAAAAATTTTGCTGGGATTTTAATAGGAATTTCATTAATCTTGTATATAGATTTGGGGAAAATTGACTTCTTTACTATGATCAGTCTTCCAGTCCATGAACAAAGCCTGTCTCTCCATTTTTTTATTTATTTATTTATTTATTTATTTATTTATTTTAAAATATATTTTATTGATTTTATACAGAGAGGAAGGGAGAGAGATAGAGAGTTAGAAACATCGATGAGAGAGAGTCATCGATCAGCTGCCTCTTGCACACCCCCTACTGGGGATATGCCCGCAACCAAGGTACATGCCCTTGACTGGAATCGAACCTGGGACCCGTCAGTCCCCAAGCCGACGCTCTATCCATTGAGCCAAACTGGTCCCGGCTCCATTTTTTTTTTTAGATATTCTTTAATTTCTTTCAAAAGCACTTGGGCTTTTCATCAAAGGAATTTTGTCCATGTTTTATTTATACCTACACATTATTAAGGTGATTATAAATTATATACATATATTATTAATTTTTTTACAGAGAGGAAGGGAGAGGGAGAGAGAGTTAGAAACATCGATGAGAGAGAAACACTGACCAGCCGCCTCCTGCACATCCCCCACCAGGGATGTGCCCACAACCAGAGTACATGCCCTTGACCGGAATTGAACTTGGGACCCTTCAGTCCGCAGGCTGACGCTCTATCCACTGAGCCAAACCAGTTTCGGTTATATATATATTTTTTTTAATCTAAATTTTGGTGTCCAGCCCAGCCGGTATAGCTCAGTTAGTTAAGTGTTGACCCATGAACCAAGAAGTCACAGGTTTGATTCCTGGTCAGAGCACATGCCAGGGTTGCAGGCTTGGTTCCCAGTAAGGGGTATGCAGGATGCAGCCAATCAATGATGTTTCTCTCTCTGATGTTTCTAACTCTCTTTCCCTCTCCCTCCCTCTTTCTCTAAAAAGTCAATAAAAACATTAAAAATAAATAAATTTTGTTGTCATGTGCTCATTGCTGGGTAAAAAATTAATGACATTTAAAAATCACATATTTGAACCCAGCCAGTGTGGCTTAGTTGGTTGAGCTGACTCCCATGCAACTAGAGAGGTCACCTGTTTGATTCCTCGTCAGTCCACATACCTGGGCTGCAGGCTTGATCCCCAGTAGGGGCTGTGCAAAAGGCAACCAATTTGATGTTTCTCTCTCATCCATGTTTCTCTCTCCCTCCCTCTCCTTTCCCTTCTCTCTAAAATCAAAACATGTTTTTTAATACAAGTAAAATTTAAAAATTGCATATTTGTCATAAAAATGTAGACTTCTGATTTGTCATGAAACATTGAAAGATAAGTCATTCTGGCCTGGACTTCTGTTTGGTAACAATTGGCTGGAGCTGGGCATCACTGCCCGTGGGTGGGTGATAATGAGTTTACTATAAGTCCTGCCCCTCTCACAGTGAATGTATTTATTCTAACAAAAGGCTTGTATCCCTAGTTATTACATTCCAAAAGAATCTGAACTCGCTACCTCTGTATCAGAACCGGTGTTTGACCTCCAGGAAGTGTTGGCCACAATAAAGATTAGATATGACATCAGAAAAGAAGCCATTGGCAGGATCCTGAAAAGATTCTGCTACATCATTGCAGTAATGTTCTTGCTCTCCCGGCATAAAACTCTGTGTTAGCACAGACTGTTCTGAGTGGTTACAGTAAAAAATAAAAATAAAATCCCACTCTCGTCCTAGCTGGTTTGGCTCAGACGATAGAGTGTCCGCCTGCAGACTGAGGGGTCCCAGGTTCGATTCTGGTCAAGGGCTCATGCCTGGGTTGGGAGTTTGATCCCCAGTAGAAGGCGTGCAGGAAGCAGCCGATCAGATTCTCTCTCATCATTGATGTTTCTCTCTCTCTCCTTCTCCCTTCCTCTCTGAAATCAATAAAAATATATTTAAAAAAAACAAAAAGTCCCACTCTCATCTCAGGAAACAGCTAGCTCCTTCCTCCTCTTGAGAAACCCCTAATTTTGAAATGATCTGGCATTAGGCTCCCATCCCATTCTCTGGAGAGCAGGACAGACAGTGGGCCCATAGAACCGTATGCCAGCAGAAGCCTTGCATTTTCAGCGGCTGCAAAGTGAAGCCCGAGGGGAGGTAGCTGTGTGTTCTAAAATCTAAAAGAGCAAAGAATGCTGGCTTGGTAGTTTCAGTCAGATTGGTGATCCCAGAAATGTGGAAGTTTCAACAGTTCTCAGAAGCCTGAAAATGATCTATTTTTCATCAAACAAGAAGCTAGCTCTGTTAACCTGATCAGCTCTGCCATTTCTGTATCCAAACCTAACCGCTCTAATGTGGAGGCAAAATCTGAGTTCACTGACCCCTTACAAAGGACACGAGGCTTCATGAGACACCTGGCCACTTTGATGCAGGGCATTCTGGCTTCTTCTCCGGGAGGGAACTACCAAAAGAAGTGATCTTCTTTTGCCTGAATGCTTCCCCCTTTATTTCTCAGCTTAGCATCTCCAGCCTTCTGACCAGGGCTGAGAAAAGTTGAACAATCCCTTGCTCTGGACAAAGCACCACCCGACAACTGACGGCAGGCCTGGGCTTCCTGCAGGAGCCCTGGCTTCCCTTAGGTGCTCAGTTTCTGGAGATAAAAGACAAAACAATTGCCCTAGCCAGTTTGGCTCAACGGACAGAGCATCTGCCTGCGAACAGGTCAAGAACCCTGGTTGGGGCGTGTGTGGGAGGTGGCCAATCAATGTCTCTTTCTCACATCAATGTTTCTCTCTCTGTCTCTCCCTCTTCCTTCCACTCTCTCCAAAAATCATTGGAAAAATATCCTCGGCTGAGGATTAACATCAACAAAAAAATAAATAGATAAAAAGAAAAAGCAATTTGGTTTATCAACAACATTCTCTGCTCGATACATCTTGCAGGTGTGTATGGCCTAAGACAGTGCTCGACAAACTCCTTAGTCAACAGAGCCAAATATCAACAGTACAATGATTGAAATGTCTTTTGAGAGCCACATTTTTTAAACTTAAACTTCTTCTAACACCACTTTCTTCAAAATAGACTCGCCCAGGCCGTGGTACTTTGTGGAAGAGCCACACTTAAGGGTCCAAAGAGCCGCATGTGGATCGCGAGCCGTGGTTTGCCGACCACAGTCCTAAGACATTATCATTCTCCTTGGTCACAGTGCCATGTGTCTGGCCCTCCGCAAAACAAGGGAAAAAGAACATTGGCATCAGACTAGGAGGCAACTCAACTTGAAGAGACCCTTTAGGAGGGCTGACCACAGATAATAGTGAAGAATAACAATAATAATGAAAAGCAACAGCTATCATTTGTCTAGTACCTATTGTATGCAAAGTAGTTCTGGGTTAAATGCCTGTGTGTTCCCTTAATTATCAGGGGAATACCATTAAGTAAATAGAATGATCTCTACTTTGCAGTCGAAGAGACTGCAGCTCAGAAAGGGAATGCAACTTGCCCAAGGTGACTTCAACAAGACTGGATTTGAAATGCTTGATGTTCTGATGTAAGTGACATTACGTATTGAACCTGTAGCTCCAAGTAAGGTTTTGTTACATTGAGTTCTCCCCATCTCTTTCTTAACTGGAATTGCCCAGGCAGCTGAAGCCATGGCAGTTCAGGGTTGCTCCTGTCTTCAGCCGGGCTGGCAGATGAGTGCCTCCAAATGATATGCTGTTTCTGCTCATATCTCTGGTCTGTAATAAACAATGCCAATCGCAGGAATTAGAATGGTCACTGGGAGTCCTTCAGATGCCTAGGCTGGGGGGTGGGGAGGGGGACAGGACACCATTTTTATATTATTCAGCCTTGAAAAGAAATGCTGACTTGTTTCAGAACCTCGAGGACATTATGCAAAGTGAAATAAGTCAGTCACAAAAAGAGAATATTGGTCCTGACCGGGTGGCTCAGTTAGTTGGGCGTGTCATCCCACACACCAAAAGGTCATTAGTTTGATTTCCCATCAGGGCACATGCTTGGGTTGTGGGGTCAATCTTCTGTGGAAGAAGCCAATCATGTTTCTCTTTCATGTCAATGTTTCTTCTCTCTCTAAAATTAATAAACATATACTCAGGCAAGGATTAAAAAGTGAGAAATACTGTATGATTCCACTGATATGTTGTACTTGTAGTAGTCCAAATCATATAGAAAATGGAATCCTGGTTGCCAGGAGAGGGAGGAAGGGGAGGACGGGAAGTTATTGTTGAATGGGTATTGTAAGTTCAGTTTTCCAAGATGGAAGAAAGAGTTCTAGAGATGGATGGTGGTGATGGTGGCACAAAAATATGAATGTACTTAATGCCACTCAACTGGACACTTAAACACAGTAAAGATGGTAAATATTGTTATATATATATTTTTTACATTAAAAATTTGGGGGGAAATGCTGGAAGATATCAAAGGTTTCAACTATATTCTCAATATATATTAATCTTAGAAGGTTCATACCTTCTATACCCAGATTTCTAAGCATGCCAATTAAAGGTACTATACCACTGGTGTAAGATAGCAAATTAAAACAATAGCATTGCTTCTTCAAAATTGTTATTTGAATGTGGTATTTTCTTAGCCTTAATGGTAGACTTGACAGACCTTATAGTAAACACACAATCAGTCTCTGCTGCCTCTCCCTCTCAGCACAAGTCTGTGCTTTATGGAAGATAAACCAGAATCAAAGCACTAAAGAACACTGCAACTTCTTAAATGAGTTACTATACTTGAAGTACCTCATACATATTACGCATTCATTAAGTGCTGCTCATTATTCCCTGGATGCTAATTTTTAAGGCATAGCTAGAGGCATTTCCCCAAACTTAAAAAATAGGTTGCAATCTTATAAAAAAGTCTGATCCAAGAGAAAACAGAACCAATAGGATGAAGCAATCCTTTATTTTTAGATACTTTCACAAAGAAGTTGTCAGGACATAAGCTTCCAATGAAGAAGATGAACATGAAAACCAGCCTCCAGCTGCTGCTCTGCTTAGGGCCTTGGGTTCTCCTCCTTGCCCATGTGGTGGGGTGGAGGTGTGTACTTCCCCTCCTTGATTAGCTTATTCCGCTGTTTCACGATGGCACTCAGTCGTTTCATCTGTCAAAGGAAGAAAGTATTTACAACCAGGGGGAGGCCCCGGCGGCCGGGTAACTCAGAGCACTGTCCCAATACAACACCGGGGCAGATTTGATCCCCAGTCAGGGCACAGACAATATCAACCAATGAATACATAAATAAGTAGAACAACAAGTCAATGTTTCTTTAAAATATAAACACACACAAGTAAATAAAAAACTAGGGGGAGATACGCACCAGAAAGTGAGGGCTGGAGAACCAGAAGGAAAATTGATTTCATTTTCAGAGGGCCTCTAAGATGAAACGTGTCTTTTAAAAACTAACTTGAAATAACTTCTTGAGCTTTTAATAAATACACTTTTGGTATATATAATAATATCTCCTTGAAATTTAATAACAAAATTTACAAGACAAAAACAAGAGCCCTAGCTGGTTTGGTTCAGTGGAGAGAGCATCAGCTTGCGACTGAAGGGTCCCGGGTTCGATTCTGGTCAAGGGCACAAGCCAGTGTTTCGGGCTTGATCCCCAATAAGGGCTGTGCAGGAGGCAGCCAATCAATGATTCTCTATCATCACTGATGTTTCTATCTCTCTCTCCCTCTGCCTTCCTCTCTAAAATCAATAAAAATATATTTAAAAAAACAAACAAAAAGACATTTAAGAGGCATAGTCATACATCTAAAGCTTTTAAAATATTAAAGGCCATCTATTCCTGACCTCTCTATGTGAAGGTGGCACTGCTGCTGTTGACTGTTCGCTGAGTATGAATGAAGCAGAAATAGCCAATATAAGGTCTCTTCCTACTACACTGAAACTAAGACCCAATATACACTCTCAGCTACTAGTCACTAGTGTTGAACCTCGAGTTCTGCCTCTTCTCAGGTAGGACATTCCTAACAAATGCCATGCTATACAAACTTGTGTGAGAGCATGATTACATGGACTCTTCGACATAGAAAATACACTCACTAGTCATGACTGCGTTATTTACTTGCTCAAAACTCAATGGCTTCCTATCTTACTGAAAGAAAAACCGAGTCCTTCCTTATAATGACTTACAAGGCCGACCTCCCTGACTTTATGTCTTAACACCTTCCTCTAGCTCTCTCTGATCCAGCTCAGGAATCTTTGCACTTGCCGCTGCTTCTGCCCAACACTCTCTCCCCTGGTTTCCACTTGGCTCACTTTCTCTAAGTCTCTGCTCAAATGTCTTGTGTTGAACTCTTCTCTGACCACCATATTTAAAAAAGAAAAACAACTTAGCCCCCATGACCAAAGCTTTCTATCCCTTTCCTATTTATTTTCCCCACTGCACTCAACTCCCGACACACTGTTTTTTATTGTTGGTTAACTTTCTGCTCCCCTCCCCCATATTATTAAGCTCCATTAGGACAGGGACTTAAAAAAAAAAAAAAAAAAGTCTGGCTCTAGCCAGTCTGGCTCAGTGGATAGTGTTATCCTGTGGACCAAAGGGTTCCAGGTTCGATTCAGGTCAATGGCATGTACCTTGACTGCAGGCTCCTACCCGGGCCCAGGGCCTAGTCCGGGCTCATGCAGGAAGGCAACCAATTGATATGTTTCTCTCACATTGATGTTTCTTTCTTTCCTTCACTCTTCCACTCTCCCTAAAAATCAATGGAAAAAATATCCTGGGGTGAAGGAAAAAAAAAAAAAAAAAAAAAAGGCTGGGCTGCCCTCGCTGGTTTGGGTCAGTCCATGGACTGAAGGATCCCTCAATTCTAGTCAAAGGTACATGCTTAGGTTGCAGGCTCGATCCCCAATAGGGTGTGCAGGAGGCATCCAACTGATGATTCTCTCTCCCCTTCTCTAAAATCAATAAAAATATATTTAAAAAATAGATTTCTTGCCCTAGCTGGTTTGGCTCAGTGGATGGAGTGTCTGCCTGTGGACCGAAAGGTTCCAGGTTCGATTCCAGTCAAGGGCACATGCCCAGGTTGTGGGCTCGATCCCCAGTGGGAGACGTGCAGGAGGCAGCTGATCAATGATTCTCTAATCATTGATGTTTCTATCTCTTTCTCCTTCTTTCTTCCTCTCTGAAATAAAAATATATTTTAAAAAATAGATTTTTTTATGAAAGAAGTTTCCCAACAGCGGACTAGTCATGGTTGAGCTATCAGAACACCATGGATTAAATCTTCACCAATAACCACTTAGTGCTGTGATATAATAACCACCGGCTCTGGAGGCAGCATTGCCAAGCTCAAATCCCAGTGAATACTCTTACTAGCTATATGACTTTAGGCAATGGCCTTAGTGTTTTTAATTATATGGTGGGGGAAATAAAAGTAAAGCACCTTACAAGGCTGTTGTGAGAAATAAAATGCATTATGATATGCCGGGCACTTAGAACAGGGCTTGTTTCTAATTTCCTGAATCACTAGTTTCTTCACCTAGGGGGAAATATCTGGTCATTTAGGGTAACCTCTAAAACAGTAACAGGTCTATTCATAAATTCACAGGATGAGGAAGTGACCTTGGGGGAACTCCTGAATATTTCCAGATAAGGAGATCATGACAAATAAGTGACTTGCCTGAAGACACAAAAATAGTGGTGGCAGAACCACACCAAAACCCAGCTCTTCTGACTTCAATCCAATGTCCTTTCTACCTCACCACACTGCCTTCTGCCGGTGTAAATTTTCCACAGTGAGTTAAGTCTTAATCTGAGCAAGGAATAAAGCGGGCTCATGAGAAGAGAATACATTGTGAACTAGTTCATAGGTGGCCAAACATGACCCACTCACTGTCCTACAATATAGGCACTATAATATTACCCACTTAATGATCGGCATTCCTGCAGAGATCAATACAAAATTATGACCTGACACCCTCTCATTCCTTCCAAATTTGGCTTTACTTTATTTTTATTTTTTAAAATATATTTTATTGATATTTTACAGAGAGGAAGAGAGAGGGATAGAGAGTTAGAAATATCGATGAGAGAGAATCATCGATTAGCGGCCTCTTGCACAGCTCCTACTGGGGATGAGCCCGCAACCAAGGTACATGCCCTTGACTGGAATCAAACCAGGAACCTTTCAGTCCCCAGGCTGACGCTCTATCCACTGAGCCAAACCGGTTTTGGCAAACTTGGCTTTACTTTAACCAAATGCTAACAGACGTTAAGACATTTAAAATGTTGATGAATTTAACTTAAAATCTAAATTGTCTTCTTGAACTACAAGAATCTAAGTTATAAAACATTCCTATTTGTTATATCTGGAGCACAGAAATAGGCAAAACAGCCCACATTCAAAGATTTCTTCTTTAAGGAAGAACAGAGCTCTAAATGTGTTAGTCCTGTGTTAGCAGCCCCTTTTTCCTATGCATTTTTGGTTAGGCTCACCTAAAGCAATTTCATTAACACCTCCACCTTCTCCAGAGTATAAATACTTCAGAGATTGTTATATCAAGTTCAATGTAATAGACCTTCAAGGTTTTAACCCCTTCCCCAATGAGGGTTTAATGAATTTTAAAGATTTTTACCCAAAGATTTTCACAAACATCCAAGACGGGTGGATACTTTGCTTTATGGCCTACTACAAAAATAGAAACAGACACAGACATGTAATTTCTAACCTGATGGTTACGGCAAGGTTCGATACTAAGGAAAATCAGAGATGAAGAGCATTGAGGGACAACAGGTCTTCCTCCGATCTGAAGACATTTAACTTCCTTGACATGGTACCTAAATAGGTGTTCACCATAAAAGTCTTGCCAATTCAACTCAATGACCAATTAAAAATACTGAAAAGTTGCCAGGACCGGTTTGGCTCAATGGATAGAGCGTCGGCTTGGGGACTGAAAGGTCCCCGGTTCGATTCCGGTCAAGGGCATGTACCTTGGTTGCGGGCATATCCCCGGTGGGGAGTGTGCAAGAGGCAGCTGATCGATGACTCTCTCTCATCGATGTTTCTAGCTCTCTATCTCTCTGGCTTCCTCTCTGTATAAAATCAATAAAATATTATATATTAAAAACAAAAATAAAATAAAAATAAAAATACTGAAAAGAAATAAGGAAGTAAGTAACTCAGCTCCCACCTCCTCCACTTCCTCACCGTTTTCTGCCGGAGCAGACATTCTAATAGATCTTCATATTCTACATTGCATTCTTTCCGTGCGCGGATGCCACCAATCCCGTGTGAACATTCTATCCATTCTTTTTCAAAAGCATGGCATCGAGATGGAATCCTGTAAGGCTGTTCAGCACTCTGGATTGACAGCCAGCGGTCTAAGTCAATGCCCAACTTCTTCTGTATATCAAAGAAAGGCATGGCTGAAATGAAAGGTAAAAAAAAAGATATTATGCCATAAAATACAAATGAGTAAGACATTTCTAAGAAAAACGAGGTTATTATGATAAATAGCCCTCGAGAAAGTTATTTTACACTGTTCTCCCAATTTCTTCGCACCAAACTTTTCCATTAGACAAATTCTCCCAGTTTATGGTCAATGAACAATTTCTGTGCTTTCACAAAACCCAAGGAAAAGAGATCTAAAACAAACAAAGCGTAAAAATCTTCTTGCCAAAAACCGGTTTGGCTCAGTGGATAGAGCATCAGCCTGCAGACTGCAAGGTCCCAGGTTCGATTCCAGTCAAGGGCATGTACCTTGGTTGCTGGCACCTCCCCAGGTGGGGGTGTGCAGGAGGCAGCTGATCCATGTTTCTCTCTCATCGATGTTTCTCTAGCTCTCTATCCCTCTCCTTTTCTCTCTGTAAAAAAATCAATAAAATATATTTAAAAAATAAAAATCTTCTTTATACTGACAAAGTCATGTTTATCAAAAGTTAAGAGTTTTTATGTTTTGACTTAATAATCCCAATTCTTTGGGTCAGATCTAAAGAAATAACTGAAAAGAACAACAACAACAAAAGCATAAGCATAGAAACATTTCTTTACATATTTCTATCCATATCAACTTAGATGACACCTTCCCTGGGAAGCCATCCTGAAACCGGCATCCCTCCTTTACGTTAGCACATCAGTCTCCACTTCCCACAGGAGTTCTCTGCATGCCACTATAATGGACTGTTCACTAGAATGTCTCCCTTACTGATCAACGAATGCAGTAAGGGCAGGAACCAGGTAGTAGTTTGTTTAAAAAAAAAAAAAAAAAGTTAATTTCAAACAACTTAAATGGATAATTAAATCCATTACCTACTTAGAATAGAATAATACTCGGGGAAAAAAGAAAAACAAACATGGGACATCCATTTTAATGTCAAGAAAAATACAACAATGCCCAAGAAAAACTGTCTGCAAAAGACTGGAGGAAAGCACACACACACAAAGGCAACAGTTACGTAGGAATAGTAGGTCTACAGGTGAAATTAATTTTTAAATTTCCTACCCATTCTTTAAGTCATTGACTGAATAATAACGTGCCAGGCACTGGAATGGGGAAACGCAGCAGCTGCAACCTTAAGGACGAGAATACCGATACACAGCGAATTGGGGACCCAAAGGAAGGAACAAAACCAGAGGTTAAGAGCTCGAAGAAGGAAGAATCAATTCCGCCCAGGAGGCTGGAAAATGCCTTTTAGGATGGGCTGAGTTTGCGAAGTGAAGGGCCAGCGGGCAGAGTACTCCAGGAGGGCACAGCAGGAGTTACAGCCGCAGGCTCTGGGTGTGTTTGAGGGACACCGGGGCCCGACACGGCTGGAGCGTCCAGTGCATGTCGGGAAGAGCGAAATGAGCTGAAACGGTGTGAAGGCCGCAGTCACGCGGGGACTTGGCAGCCCAGAAAAGGAGCATGGGCGTCAGATTCAGAGCCGGGAGGCCAAAGCATTAAGCTGGCAGATACTCAGCCTGTAAAGAGAACCCAGAGGGGTGCGGGCTACAGGCTTCAGTGACATTGGCTGTGCGGGCCAGGGGACCTGGGGAAGCGGAAAACACGCCCAGAGTTCGAGTGAGAGAGAACGGACACCCAGCCAGCCACGAGGAAATCGGTTAAAGAAACCTCGGAAGGAAGTTCCTTAAGCTAAGCCCTACCGTCCCGCCGCGGTGCCCTTGTTCCTGGCTCCTGGTACAGTACGGTCTGCAGGAGTCGCGGAGACCTGCCGCAAAGGATGCCCGCCGCGCGACGCTAGCAGCGCGACACCGGAAGTAGATCTTCCTTCCGCCGCCTCGCCCCGGAAACCATAGGAACCAGGCCTCTCCGTCTGCGCCTGCGCGGGTGTGCTCTTTGCATTCTGGAGGTCTGACGGGGGGTAAACGGACCTTCCCTACAGAACCGCGTTGGACAGAGAGCACCAAGCGGTTAGCGCGTCCCGGCTGCCTCCGGGGACTGTGTCAAGCGCTCTCCCGACAGCGTGGATTCGGGAGGTTCTTGACCAAGGCCACTGGAGAGAAAAAAGTGTCCCCTCCACCACTCCAATAATGGTTAAGCTCTTGGACTGTGGGCCCGCGCTAGGTGGGTTAATATTCCGACTTCATCACGTGTGTGTGACCCAGGCAGTTTCCTCATCTCACGTAACCTCAGTTCCTCAAATTCAAATTAAAATATTGCCCTGGCCGAATAGCTCAATCGGTTAGAGATCGTCCTGATGAGCCACGGTTGTGGGTTTGATTCCCAGTCGGGGCACGTATCAGAAGCAATCAATGCATACATAAGCGGAACAACAAATTGATGTTTCTCTTGCTCTTTTCCACTGTGCCTAAGATCCGTATAATTTTTTTTAAAAGTTTAAAATATTACTTTAAAAGGAAATAATAGTACCTATAGCATAGGGAGGCTTTGGGGATTAAATAAATGCATACAGCACTGAGGCTGTTCCTGGACGGTGGGAACCAGTCTAAGGTAATCACAGTGTTTGATGTCTCAGCTTCTAAAGTTTGTGGATTTAGGAAAGTTGATCAAGACCATGACGCCTTCCTCTGTTTGAGAACCTCCAATGGCTCCCTTTGACTGCAGAGGAGCATCCAAAGTGGTGTGCATGTGTGGGTACCATAGGGTATATGTAATATGATACATTTAAGTTGTGGGAAGAAAATACAAGAATATTTCTGCTTACCGAATCTTTTTAAAAACTGTATCTTTTTGCTTTTGTTTTGTTTTTAATCTTCACCTGAGAACATTTTTTCCATTTTTTTTAAACATACTTTTATTGATTTCAGAGAGGAAGGGAGAGGGAGAGAGAGATAGAAACATCAGTAATGAGAGAGAATCATTAATCGGCTGCCTCCTGCACGCCCCTCACTGGGGACTGAGCCCACAACCTGAGCATGTGCTCTTGACTGGACTTGAACCCGGACCTTCAGTCCACAGGCCGGCGCTCCAACCACTGAGCCAAAACGGCCAGGGCTCCATTGATTTTTTTTTTTTTTTTTTTTTTTTTTTTTTTTTTTAGAGAGCGAGGGAGGGAGGGAATCATTGATGTGAGAGACACACATCAATTGCCGCACAAGCCCGGACAGGGGATGGGAAGGAAAGTGTGTGCCCTTGGCTGGAAATTGAACCCATGACCGTTTGGTCCGCAGGCCACAGCTCTTAAGCACTGAGCCAAAACAGCCAGAGCTAAATTTCTGTGTATGTGTGTGTAAATGTTTTTAAAGGACGTAATATCACTGTAGTGGTACATATAAATAACTTGCAATTACATCCAGCCTTGCTCCCTTCTTACTCTTGTTTGGGTTGCTTTTCTAAAACTCAAATCTGATCATTCAAAAAATGCTGAGCTTTTATCACATGCCCTGGCCCTTGTTGAGCTCTGGGGATGAAGACACAGAATGGTGTGGCAAGTGATAAAGATGGGGAAAAGAAGGGAGAACAGAAAAGGAGGAAGTCATTCATACTGATGGGGCTGTGTTTGAGATATCAGTATATTCAAGAAAAGGTCCAAATTCATGGGTTTTGGCATCAAGACCCTTCATGATCTGATTTTGTCCCATTTCTAAGTTCAAATCCCATTTTTACCAGCCCCTATTCAACCTCCTTGTTTTCTCAAGCCATCCAGAATTGCTCTCATGTTTCCAAACCTAAGGAGCAGGTTCTGTCTGGAATGATCCTATCTGCTCACTGCCACCTCACGCTGTCTCCCATCTCTCAGTTAATTCCTAATCCATCCAGGTTGGATACCATGCATATTGCTGATAAAAGATTTTCAAGTTCCTCTAGCCTTTCTTGAGGTCCCAATAGCCCTATAAGCTCCTAGTATAGACATTGCTAACTGCTGATATGCCGACAACGCCGCCCCCCCCCCTCCACACACACAATGGACCATGCACACAGCTTGCCAGCATGGGTATGAAAGATGGCAGTGACAGGTCTTCCTCTACTGCAAATACTGGAAAACTACAATCCCCAGAAACCCACACCAGCACTGAGCTGCACTGTTGCTGCAGTGACCACGGGGCTGCTTGGATATTGTGCACGCATCACAAGTGATGTAACTCAATATTAGGGGTTCCATGTCGCCTCTTTCTATTCCTCACCACCCCCAAGCCCCACTTACCTTCTCATCATCATGTTTTGTGGATCCTTTGCTTCATGGAAGTGTGATTTTTACAACAAAATTAAAGGACTGTATGCTCAGAGGAAAGGTTGAACTGCTGCTTTCTCCATTCTGTATTTGGGAAACCTAGGCTTGAGACTGGAACGAGCACAACTGAACGTTCATCGATGGGCATTTGTCACTGTGATGTTTTACCCCAACACGGCCTCATTCTCATCTTTCAAGGCATAAAAGATGTCTCCATGCCCTAATTTAAGGGTCTCATTCCCACCTCTTAGAACTAGCCTCAGCTGCTGCACGAGCACACCCCATAGCTAAAGTCCCCTAAGTCTCCATTCACAGGATCTCTGCCCTTGACCTACAGGATTTCCATATGTCTACACGCCTCTTAGTCATAACCCAAGAAAAGCTTTAACACTGTCCTCCTACTGGTAGGCAATCTATAATTTAGCACATTGGGAACTTTAGGCCTGTATCTGAAACTACCACCATCCAGATTTAAGTAAACTGGGAAGCTTGTGGATCCCAGTACATTTGGGGAAAACAGTGAGTTTGGAAACTTACTCTCCCCACCCCCCAAGTCTAGAGGAGCAGTAAGGCAAAGTCTGAAAAAGTAAGTAATGGGTCCTAAGGACTGGACTGTAATGAAAACCAGAATATGTTGAAACCGGTTTGGCTCAGTGGATAGAGCATTGGCCTGCAGACTGAAGGGTCCTGGGTTCAATTCCAGTTAAGGGCATGTACCTTGGTTGTAGGCACATGCCCAGTGAGGGGTGTGCAGGAGGTGTTTCTCTCATAGATGTTTCTGGTTCTCCCTCCCTCCCGTCCTCTTTGTAAAAAAATCAGTAAAATATATTCTTAAAAAAAGAAAATTAAAAAAGTAAACCTTTCTCACATGGACTGGATACCTGATTGTGTGCCATGTGGATGACCCAGGGAACCTCCAGCCTTCAATCTGAATTAAGGAAGTTTTGGGACTATTCCCAGCCACAGGCAACAAGAAATCCCTCTTAGAGTTAAGTATGTCATCCTTGTCCTGTTTATTTCTACAAATAACTTTTCAAATATACTGTTCAGCTCAGATAACCTGGCATAAAAACAGACAAGGCTCTATAAATGACAATCGGTAAAAACAAGAGACCCATGAAGACTTCAGGTATTAAAATTTTAGACAAAGTTATCACTTCTCCTGTCAATAAAGTGCTAATTATTTACAAATGTGGATTAAGGTACTTAGCTGGAGCTCTTTCCCTAAGTAAACTTGTTCCTTTCTTCCTGAAGGTGCCAACCTTATCCAAGATCTAGTTTAACGCACTATAATAGACTGCAATATTCTCAGAAGCTGTTTTTAAAAAATATATTTTATTGATTTTTTTTTTATAGAGAGAAAGGGAGAGGGATAAAGCTAGAAACATCGATGAGAAACATCGACCAGCTGCCTCCTGCACACCTCCTACTGGGGATATGCCCGCAACCAATGTACATGCCCTTGACTGGAATCAAACCTGGGACCCTTCAATCCACAGACCAATGCTCTACCCACTGAGCCAAACTGATTTTGGCTCAGAAGATGTTTCCAAGGAATCATCACAACAGCAAAGAAATCAGTTCGTAAGAACAATATTTAACCAACTCTCTTTAAACCTATGGTGTTCCGATAAACATGAAATTCTCATAATCCACTTTTGTATCAAAAAATTTCAAAATTATAAATTAGGACATGTCCATGACACATGGTGCTTGTCGTTTGTGAGCTTTTCAAATTCATATCAATGCTGCAGTGCAGGGGCTCACAAACCTTTCTGTAAAAGGCCAGAAAGTAAGCATTTTCAACTCTGTGGTCCATACTGTCTGTCTCTGGAGTTGCAGTGTGAAAGCAGCCAGGTGCAAATGAATAGGTATGGCAGTGTTCAAATAAAACTTTACAAAAACAGGCGGCAGTTTGCTGGCCCCTGATTTAGTGAATAACAAAATACAGATACACTGAAAGGCACTACAGAATTAATTTGTCATTCATCTTTTATTGTTTTCTTAGTCAAACACTTAAAGTACAAATTCTATATGAGAATGTGGAATTTTGTTGTTAACAAAGGGCTCTTCATACTGGAGAGTTGAGAATCACTGCTGCAGAAAGGAAGATTTTGGTCTTCAGAGTTGATGAAGACCACTGTAAAGAAATCTCCTGTAACATTTTCAAGTGCATAGCCTATGTCCCAAACTGTGCTAAATACCTTCCTGACATGAATTAACTTAATCTTGCATTTATTTGAAAAGAAAAACCCAACGATGTACATACAATTGATCTTTTGTTTTACAGATAAGAAAACTATGGCTCAGAAAGTTCAGTAACTTGGCAAGACTCACATAGTAAAATAGTGGCAAGGCAGACTAAAGTCTAGGGTTATAAACATCCAAAGGCCATTCTTTTAACTGGTAGACTAACCAACCAATTCTCCCTGGTGTTTGAATATAGAATCTTCCAGAGAAGATTCACCATATGTGGAAGTTGGCCCAAATTTTTATATCCCCTGATGTTCTTCTTGGGAAGGTCTCAACTGTTATCACTGCCTCAGAGCTCTGATCTCCCCTGCATCCTCTAACTTAGGGAGGGACACTTACTCCTTACATTGTCCTTAAACTTAAGGCTTTACTTAAAGAGGATAACAACTAAAACAAAACACAGAATATTTTAACTCACTAGATACGGCTGTTCTGAGACTACTTCTTCCCTGGGCCTTGACTTATCCTCATGAGACAAAGAAACTTCTTTACTTGGGAACGTGCCTAGTTCAGATTCTAGAAATCAAGGTCTACAGAAAAACTCCTTTTGCTAGTGTAAGGCCTGTTTTACAGGTCCCCATTTCCTGTTCTAGGATATGTCTTTTACCTGGATAAAACACTAAGCAAACATGTCTAGTCTCTTTAGAGGAGATCCCCAAATCCAGCCATGGTGGTGTGGTCTTACTATGTGGCCCCCCAAAACAACCATATCATACTACCATAGCATGTCATTTTCCTTACAGAAACTTAACTCTTTCCCAGCCAGAAGCTATTCAGTAGGAATGGGGCTGACACTCACAATACTGATTCTGTAACAAGAAGACTTAAGTGAGGCAGTGTTCCCCATTCCTGATCTACCCTTCAGGACTTCTGATGCCCCCAAAACTGCCTGCCCTTGTTTTGGTGTGGCTGCCCCACGGTAAGGCCACCCCCATTACTGCCGCTTCTATGTTCCTCTTTCAGGAACAGTGATTATCCTGGAAAAAGAAGAGATAAAACAAACTGCCCTTCAAATACGAAGTAAAAAAATTCTTAATTATCAAAAGATCACTGTTGGGCTTTTAAAAAAGTCTGTAACTCTTAAATGTAATGTTAACCTGGGGAAGTGGTTATAGCAGCTTCACATAAATTATTTTAATAAACATCATCACAGTATTAAGAAGGCAAGGTAAACAAATAGCTTGAGTATTTTATTTGTTTGCAACTAAGCTTGTTAACACTATATAATGAAAATGTACAAAGAATAACGTTGCAGTTTTTGGTTAGATTTAAGTCAAAGACATTCATTAATAAGGAATCTTCCAATGTGAATATTCCAGAAATTATCTCTAAGCCATCTGATCAGAACTGTCTCTGAATATTACCTTACTTTGGAAGGTATTGGCATACATTTTAATTACACTCAGATTTTTCAAAATAAGCTGTAATTAAAAAAACTATTCTATATTCAAACTAAAACAATTTTAATAGAACTTTCCTTTCCAGAAACAATAATAAACGAAACAAGGCATTTGTAAAATGTGGTCCTGAACAAGTCACAGTAAAAAATAAATGTATACTTAACTTCCACCTCCTCAAAACAGAGGCTACTTTCTGTTCCTCAGCCTTGAAAACGAGGTGAAGAACAGTCTGTAAGCAACTTTGGGCAGGGGGTTGCCAAAACAAAGCTCAAGCAGTTGAACAGGGACACCTCTTAAAAGAATTTGGGAGAAGCTGACCAAAGGATCCAAATCTGTATTTAATAACTGGTACAAAGGTGAAGTGGCTCCTCCCAAGTAGCAGTGTTGCTGGGGCCTGGCCCAGCCCCAGCCCATGCTCACCTGGTCTATGCTCCCAAGAAAACCCTGATGCTCCTGCTCTAGGGGAGACCTTTTCTTTTTAGAGGTTCAGTGTCCAGGGAGCTCTCTGTGTGAATGAGGTGAGCACGGACTCCACAAGGGTATTTTAAGGCTTGGAGTCAAAGGATCTTTCCAACACAGCCAGGCAGATTCCATGTGTCAAATGGCCCGTCTCCAGTTTGTTCTAATTCCTCACCACGCATTTATAGATCTAGGACCATAGACCTTTGCTATGCCATCTAATCACATCTGATGTCCATCCTAATGTATGATTCATATTCTGTGCCTGAAAACAGTCCCTGTATTTAATAATACCTATACATAAAACAACCCACTGTTACAACTTACATGGTCACAAAACATTAATGATCTTCTGTAGATCAAGCAAATGTTTTTAACCATAATTGTCGTGCATCAAATTCACAGCCAGAATCCCCAAGATCAAAAAAAATTTGCACAATACAAATAATAACTTAAAATACACGTACATACATATACATACACTCTCATACACACTTCTTACAGAATGTGCTTGGGGAAACTCCATTTGCTGAGTGCCACTGAGGGCATATTTTGCTAAACTGCTGCTCCAGGTATTTTGCTTCGAAAATCTATCACAGTAGGGCACAGCTGTTTATTGGATGAGCAGAAAAGAAAGATATGCTTGTGGCAACCAGAAAGTTTTAAGGTCTTTCAAGTTGTATAAAATGGACCTGCAGAAACCTTTAAGTGTTCTCAGGATGCAAAGTTGGAGCTGAAATGTGATATCAAACCAGTTGCAAAAAGTGCACAGCAGCCATCTCTTGAGGTCAAACCTGGTACCCAGATATGCAAGAAAGCTTCAGGACACATCTATAAATTAGGAATAAAAAAAACAAAAACATGTAAAAATACTAAAAAACATAGGATTGTCCTTTTAAATAACTAATGGTAAATGTGATAAACTGCATGGAGAATATAAATCACCACTTAAAAGGTCCTCCTTTCTTCAGAATTTAAGAAATCTGAGTCAGGATCAGTGGATATATAATTATTATAATTTATGTTTTGAGTACCTGGTCATTGCAAGATGTTTAAAATTAAATTCTGATCATACTCTTGACAAGTTAGCCTAAGAAATCAACTTTCATAAATTAACAATTAAAGCTACCTTTCTGGGGAAAAGCCAGGTAATAAACAAATTGGTACTGGAGTTAGACTACCTAGGTTTCAATCTTGGCTAAACCACTAGCTACATAAACTTGGACAAAAAATTAACTTCTTTACTTCTTTAAATGCTATTGTTACTTGTATAACAATAATTCTTCCCTCATGGGGTTTGGCCTGGTGCTAGGCATGTAAGTATTCTTTAAGTGCTAGCTATTATTTTACTTCACAAGAGCTTTTTGCTATCAGGAGACAAGGTACTCAGTCTTAAAATTTTGCTCTTGAAAGTTGGGTAATTCAAAGAAAACTTGGCAATACTTACAGCTTGTGGGCCGTGTTCCGTATCGTCGCATAATCTGATCGTGTGTGAATTTCACAAAAGATTCATATTGTTCTGTGAGGGGAAAGACAGTGTATACTATCCCCGGAAACTCTCCCCCACTTTTCAAGAATCAAGTGTCAGGATCACATCTAGTTTCCCTGCTTAAATTGTTTATTCCCAGGACCTCCTTATAACAGTCACTCTTTAGATTTGTTACTTCCTCTTAGATGCCAGACCCAAATCCCTAGCTCCTAGATTTAACCACTGATCATTTATAACATTTTCCTAATCTTGTGCTGTAATTCTATCCTCTAGAATAATGGGTTCCTAAGACAGACAGACATGATCACTACTATGCCAGCAAATTTTAGGATATCTCCTATAAAACATGAAACTTGAAGCCCTTTGCTGCACTCTACCGTAGCTATAAATTTCATCATACACATTGAGTGAAAAGGTGGGATGGCTAAAAGCTAGGAGAAAATTCCATACTACCTAATTATAGTAGTGCCTTGGAGCCAGCTGGTCTGAACAATTTTGGGGTGGTGGTAAGAGGGGCGAATGATATACTAGTTTCTTCTTAAAATACACATTATTAGTATATTAAAGAAATTCTACTATAAAGAAACCCATTTAACGTTGCTAACCCCAACAGTTCTCCATTTACAGCAGGCTTATTAACATTCTGAGGCACCACGTGGTGTGGGCCATCAGATGAGGAAACAATACTGTCAAAGGAAGAGTTGCTGCCTGAAGTCTCACTGATCACACCCTCCTCTTTCACTAAATGGGGACTTTCTATTCCTGCTTCAGATCCCTTCCCTTTCCGAAAAGGCTCTAACTTGTTGCCACCATTAATCACTCCTTTTGTTCTTATCTAAGCGATGCTTTCCAAACTTTATTCTAATGTATCTCCAAATCAAGGATGCCTGACTTCCCACACCCACTAAGGAAGTCTGATTATGTTAACTATACTCAGCACCTCCCAATCATCTATTGATGGTCAGCACTATCCCAACCACCTGTTTACAAGCCAGTTAACCCAAACAGTCTACTCAATGCCTTTGTTCATATGAGAAATTCTCAGAAAAGCTTGGCTTATCTTTTTTCAGAAATGTAAGTAAAGAGTCCTCCTATAAATGAAACATGTACAATCACCAAAAGAAATAACTTAATCACAATTCATTAAGTCTTCTTGCATGATGTCCTACTCCTAAATTATCATTTACTTAATTGGGGTTAATCCTTATTGAACTTATTAACAATGGCATAGCCACTACCTCACCCTACCTGCTAGTTTGGTATTGAGGATTTGCTCATACTCCTCCCGAATTTTATCTTCATAGTCTTTTAAGAGACGCTCACATATTATTCCAACTTGTCGGAGAGTAAAGGTGGGCTGATCCTTCTTCATCCAGGAGGAACCTGGCCAAAAGACAAATCTAATTTACAGATTCTAGTTCTAAAGTTCAGAATTAATAGCATCATGCAAACAGCCCTAGGATATAAAAATTGTTTATAAAAATGGTCTTTTCACTAGTTTATATGAAATGTTTCCACAGAATTCTCTGAGTTTCTGTCATTTGTTTTACAAAGCAAGGACAAAGGTAAATTGAGAAGAGAAATAACATGTATTCAAGTTGTTCTGATGCCATAACAACCGAGCCCAGACTCAATGCTCATTTGGTCAAGAATAAGAATGAAAAGTTTAAAGCTGACATAAAGCCTCTAGTCTAGATTAGGAAAAGTTGATTCACTGCATGAGAGCTACCCAGATTCTTGGAGATCACCTACACATATGTTTATTTTTTTATTTTATTATTTATTTATTTATTTATTTGTTTATTTATTTTTATTTACACCTATGTTTAACCAAAGTGGTGCATCATAGTTACCGGTGGAACTAGTTCTGGGGTCGGGCTTCAGAATCTTTTAAGTTCCAGGGTGATTTTGATAAGAAAATAATTTGATACAGAAAGCAAATGACTTGCTCAATATAAAAAATTGTTAGCAAAGTCATCGAAATATGAATGAAGGGGACAATTTACCACTATACATCTCATCCTTGATCCCTTTTGAATCTGGGCCAAGAAGAGTGAAATGTTTATAAGATAGTAGTTAGGAACCAAAATGTCCACTGGAAAGCCAGTAAACATGGAAATTGACTTCCTGATCATGATTTTTTTTTAAAAGCAGCTCCATTGGTAGTCCAATTCTGAGTTATTTTTCAAGGTTTAACCTAGAATTTGTTTCTTTAGCCTTTAGTCTATAAAAATATTCAACAGCCTGAAACAAATAATTTTTTGCTTAAACCAATTTTTTTCTCTACCAATGAAACCTGACCAAAATATCTAGCAAGTTATTATCTGTACTTGTTTCTCTACCCATAACATATTCTATACTTCAAAATTAGCTCTAGCCAGTTTGGCTCAGTGGATAGTGTGAGCCCCTGGACTGAAGGGTCCTGGGTTTGATTCTAGTCAAGGGATATACAAGGTCGTGTATAAATCCCTGACCCTGGTTGGGGTGCATGCAGGAGACAATGTTTCTCTCACATTGATGTTCTGTCTTTCCAATCCCCTTTCCACTCTCTCTAAAAACAAAAACAAAATTACATTACTAAAATTGAGACTTGTCCCTGACTGGTTTGGCTTAGTGGATTGAGCTTCGGCCTGTGGAGTCAGGGATCCCAGATTCGATTCTGGTCAGGGACATGTGCCTTGGTGGCAGGCACATTCCCGGTAGAATTTTTAAAAAATTATTTGCAGTGAAAGTGACATAAAGTGAACAATTTAATATAGTCACAACATTGTACAACCACCACCTCTGTCTAGTTTCAAAACATTTCTAGTACTCCCAACTAACACCACTTACCCATTAAGTGGTCCCTGTCATTTTAAATAGCATTTACAAACTCTTAAATGGGCTGTGCAAATTAAAGTATACTTACCTGGAGAACTAGGCGCTGAGGAGTGAGGCTGACTTTCTGAAGTACAAGCTTCATTCTGATTAAGAACAACTTCTAATTGTCTCCACCTCTGGTAACGACTATATTCTTGTTTTATGTTCTGAAAAATTTGCTCTAAATAAAAAAAGAAACACATTTGAGCATTTACTTTGAGTCATTTCTTCTTATCCTTCTCCCCATGTAATAAATATTAACAAGAAAAATATTTATACTGAATAACCTCCTATAACCCCAAAGTGTGCCCTCTTATTATCACTACTAGAGGTCCAGTGCACAAAATTCGTGTGGGGGTTGGGGGGGGGGAGGTCCCTCAGCCTGCCCCCTCTCCAATCTGGGACCCCTCAGGGGATGTCCGACTGCCAGAACCTCTGGCTCCTAGCCACTAGCCTGCCTGACTGATTGCCCCTAACTGCCCTCTCCTGCTGGCCTGATTGCCCCTAACCACCTCTGCCTCAGCCCCTGCCACCTTGGCTTTGTTTGGAAGACATCTGGTCTAATTAGCATATTACCCTTTTATTAGTATAGATTTCAACAATATGTAGAGTAGCAGTTATTTTGGCATAAGCCACTCAGACATTTCTCTTTGCTTGTTTCCTGAAGACCAGAGTTGCTGTTTGCTGTAGCATTAACTACAATTTATAAGGAAAAAAGTCCTTCACCTAATAGGGAACTACCCTGTTTCCCCAAAAATAAGAGTGTCTTATATATAATTTTTTCTCCCAAAGTTGTGCTAGGTCTTATTTTCAGGGGATGTCTTGTCTTTCCATGCGCTAGGTCTTATTTTCGGAGGATGTCTTATTTTTGGGGAAACACAGTATTTCCTATCTCCCTTAAGTTGCATAATTTCACAAACCAGGGTACTAAGGGTGAGTCTCTTAATCACCCAAGGCCTTCTAATAGTGAAACTCTAGTCCTATTTGGACTAAGATCTTTAGAGAAGAGGAAAGCAGAAATCACTATGTTTATAGCTAAAGGAAGATTTGAAATTTATTGCTTGGAATTCATGAACAGGACTTAGAAGAGAATTTTCTAATTTTATAAGAGGCAATATTTGGTAGGATTCAAGTTACTATTCTGAGTCAAGGTAACAAAAAACCAAACACTATTAATAAACTGAGTCCAGGACATATAAATACTAACCACCTTGAAGTATACTCCTAGAGACAACACAGAATCTGGAAGGATGTGGTCTTCAAGTTTTGTTTTTGTTTTTTTTTTTGTGGTAGAATGTATGTTCACTTTTCAGATAATAAAGGCTCCTAAAACCCAGAAAATTACATTACCCACCCCAACTCACATTATTCTAATATATAACTTACTCTAGGTGTATTATTTTTTAATAGGGAGGAGGAAGTGTTAACAATTCAATTTGTTTCTTCCTAGATGTGTGACTATGACCTTGGGAAGTCATTCAAAATCTTTAGCCTAGTTCTTCAATATAAATACTAATGTCTGCCCAATAAAGTTGTGAGAATAAAAAAAATCAAAGCTATTAATGCCATAATAAATGATGGTACAGCCCAGGAACTGACATGAATTCAAAGTAGCTCCACACATAACTAAACACTGGAACAATGCAGTATTTAGCAAAGCTTTCCTTTAAGAATGCTGTGAAGTTCGTGTGTTACATCTCTCAATTTATGAAGTCTTTGCTTCATCTTTAAAATATATTCTCCAAGCACACATGTGCCAGATGCGATACAAAGTTGTAAGTAATTGCAGATTTGAAACAAGAAAGAACAAGTATGAGGACAAGGCTCATGAGAACAGAAGATCTTTGATAAATCTTTCACTGCCTCCTGCATGGCAAAGTGAACAAATAGAAAGATACAATTTTGAGGCTGGAAGAAGAACTAGCAAGTCCAAGAATCTATACATGGTATACACAGGAGAAAACTAAGGAAGCAGATGTGATTTTTTCCCAAGAAGGCCATATATAACAGGCAAAAGCATGTAAAAAAGAAAGAAAGAAAGAAAGAAAGAAAGAAAGAAAGAAAGAAAGAAAGAAAGAAAGAAAGAAAGAAAGAAAGAAAGAAAGAAAGAAAAGAAAAGAAAAAAAAAATGCAAATTTCTGCTCTGGCCTGTTCTAGGGTTCAGCTGGTTGAGCACTGTCCCATGCACTGAAAGGTCCCTGGTTTGATTCCAGCTCAAGGCACATGCCCTGGAAGAGGGCTCCATCCTGAGTAGGGGGTATGCAAGAGGGAGCCAATCAATGTTTCTCTCTCTCCACACTCTTCCCCTCTCTCTAAAAATCAATAAACATATTTTTTAAAGAAAATTGTAAATTTATTTTTTTAAAAATAAGAGGAAGGGAAAATGAGAGAGAGAGAGAGAGAGAGAGAGAGAGAAATATCAATGATGAGAGAGAATCATTAATAGGATGCTTCTTGCACTCCCCATCATACTGGAGCCCACAACCCCAGGCTTGTGCCCTTATTGGTAATTGAACCAGAACCTTCTGGTTCATAAATTGCCATTCAACTTAGCCCCACCAGCCAGGCACCAATTTTCTTTTTTAACAGTGGATAGTTTTAATCTTTGGCTCTTATTATTTGAGGTTGTGCTTCTAGGTTTTATCAGACTAAGTCCGTTGTTTTTCCAGTTCCATCTTCCACCACAATCCAGTTGCAGTAAACTATCCTTTCCTTTATTTGTGGGTTTTTTGGCTTTTGCTCAAGCAATTTTGCTTTGCTTGAAATGGGGCTGTGTTTCTCCCCTTCCAACATTTAAGACTCAGCTAAAATGCTACCTCATTTGGAAGTTATTCCTGAACTCAACTCATGATCAATTAATGCTTTGTATCTACTCACTCCATGTTTACAAATACCTTCGAGTTCAACAATCCCCCCTCATGCCTCCATCCATCCACCTCACTCATTTAAGCAATAAAAGGTTTAATTTTATAGGATTTTACCACAAAAAGTGCTAAGACACACATCTTTTTCTGAAGTTAAACATGAGTCTCAGACCATTTCTGAGAGAATTGCACAGCCTTTGAGATTATAACTAGGATTGTTACAGAGCAGAGCCGCTGATTTTTAAATGCACTTTCCTATTAATTGGCTTTATTCTTTCTACTTGTAGAGCAACTAATATTTCCTCCCCCATTCTTTTTTAATCCAGAGGATATCTTTCACACAAGCCAAAGCATTAATGAATCACTCACACTTTGTTTCTTTCATAACAGAACCCTATGCTAATAGTCATTAAGAAACATAACTGATCAATCTTTACAAATGAATACTTTATTTCTTAAAACCTAGGTTTATTGTAGGAAGTAACTACAGATGTTCCCTATTTTCCCCATTGACTCCCCTTGACTCCCCCTTCTGGCCCACACCAACGGCCCATCCCAGGCCTTTACCACACTACTGTCTGTTACAAATGCATATTTTAACATAAAATGACCAAGAAGCTAGTTTGCATGATCTGTATGGACAGATTAAATTTTAAGGTGAAAAAAGCAGTGACCCCATTATAGCACTCTGCAAATTTGTAGGCTCCCAAATACGTTCAGCAATAATTTATTATGCACTTGGTATAATGTGAACTACAATAAAATTAGTCTAGAGAGAAGTATTGGGAAAAATAAAACATTTACATAATATTATTCATCAAGACAGACGGAGCAAGTATTAATTCTATTTTATTGAGATTCTATTTGTAGCTGTAAGAGCAGTGGACAAAACAATTAAAAAATCACCCTCTGCTTTTGAAGGACCTTTTACAAAAACTTCTGCAAACATAGTGCAACCTAAGTGGTCTGGGAATTTAAGGTCGAACAGAGTTCCTCACGGAGCAGGGTTAGTCAGGTAATGGACGGAGACTTAAGAAAGTGTATTTGGATTAACAAATAGCAGGGGGAAACGTGATGGAAGGCAAGAATACAGATCCAGCCAAGTGGGCCTGGGGGGAAAGAGCAAAGGCATGATTTGGTAAGAAAAGTATAAAAGACTGACTAGGCAAGATATGACTATCGTTGGTAAATCCTTTGAATGCCAGCACAGAAAAGAGGTGAACATAAGGCTAGACGGTCTAGGGCAGCCGGGCTGGCACCTGCGCGATCGCTGGTTAGAGAGGAAGAGGCCCTGAGATCCGCATGGCGGATTTGCAAAGGACGACATAAAGCCCACATTCACTGGCGAGTGTTAAGGGGTGAAGAAAGAATGGTTTTATGGCCATTCCAGGGTTTTGCTTATGCTTGAAAAACAGAAAGCACACAAAGAAACGACTTGCCAAAGTTCAGTTCGGAGACTCCCCCCATTTCCGGGTGCCCTTTAAACTGCTAAACATTAATTCTGGTGCATTTCCCCCTCCACTCCCACACAATGGTTAAATTTTTTTTAATTAACTTTTACTTTTTTCTTTTTTTTTTTGTCCCATCAGCTCTCGCCTTTAACTTGGCCAGTGAATGCCCCTTACTGAGGGCGACTCTGTCTGCTCAGGTTAGCTCAATTCCTCCTCCTGGAACCTCAGGATAGTTAAGGATTCTCAAATTCTGGCTAACGACCCACCGATGTCAAGCCATATTTGGTACAATAGCCATACAATAAAATAAAAAAAACATGCCCAGTCCCTGAGAATTAGATTGAAATCGGATTCCCTAACTTCTGGGGCGGCCTCTGGCCCTTCCAGACTTCTGGAAACCGGGTCCCCCGACCAGCGTGGAGCAGCCCGCTCTCCGGCCCCTTCCCCGAGGCCGGCCTCCGGCCCTCAGGGCCGGGTCCGTGAGCAGAATCCAATTTTCCATGGGCGGCTCGGGGCAGGCCCGGGCGGCGGCGGCAGGGGGGCCCGGGGGCCGGGGAGGGCCCGGGGCACCAGGGATCTCCCCGTCTCCCTCCTGCTGCCTGCCCACCTCCCTTCCAGGCGCTCCTGCACCAAGGAAGACCGAAAACGGGCTCTGCGGCCCCACTAGCCCTCCCGGATGTTCCCCATCCCCGGAAGCGATCAGGCCCGGCGGCACCCCAGTTCCCTTTTCTCCGGACGAAGAAGGGAAGGGGTCCGTGGGTAAAGGAGCCCAGCGTCCACCGCCCTGCCCCCGCACCCGCACCCCCCTCCACATGCCCGGGCCTGGCTTCCTGCCAAGCCCGCAGCGCCGCTCACCCGGAGTCGGAAGGCGCCGCTCGCTGCCGGGCGGGACGGGCGGCTGGAGCGTCGGCGGCGGCGGGCTCTGCATCTGGAGGAGCGGCGGCGGCTCGGCGTCCGGGGGCCTGAGGCCCGGAGTGGGGCCGGGCAGCGGGGCGCAGCGCCGCCGCTTCGGGGAACCCGGGCTCAGCAGCGCCGCCTCGAACTCCATGGGCCGTTTCAACGTCGCCCCGCACGCCATGCCGCCGCCGACGGGCCGGGGACGAAGAGCGGACGCGGCTGTGACGGCGGCCCAACCCTCCGCCTGCTCCGCGGCGCTCCCTCCCGAGCCAAGCCGGCTCCAATGGCGCCTCCAGCACCCAGCAGCGCCGCCGGCCCCGCCTCCTGTGACGTCACGGGCGCGCCCACCGCCCGGTCGGGGGGGTGGGAAGCCGGAAGAGGGCCGCTCTGGGAGGGTCCGCCGGCCACCGTCCGCCGCCGGCGCCCCCTCCGGAGCAAATGGAACGGCCCGGGCGGAGAACTCGGTCACCCAGCAACCGAGGGAAGGCCCCCGCCTCCGCCCCTCCCAGGGTTCCAGCCCCCGCCCCGTCCCTCGCCGCCGCTCGCGGGCGGCCCTTTAGGGGTTCGCACCTGCGCGGCGCGGGCCTGGGGGAGGGGAGAGCTCGGATTGGCAAGCTCGGAGGGGTGTGTGGAGGGGCGTCGGGGTAGGGGTCTAGGAGTCCCGTAACCTCCCATCTAGTCCTTGCCCCGGGATAAAAGGAGAGGGAGGTTTTTAAAAGTCCTCAAGGCCATGCCCCGGACTCCCGGACGTGTCCGTTTAAATGGAGCCCCAGATCGGAGGAGGATGCACTTCGGGGAAGTCCACCCATCCCACGAAGCCGCAAAACGTTGTGTCTTGTGTGTATTTTAGGAAAGATGACCTATACTTTCACCAGCGCATCAGAGAGGTCTGTTACTCTAAAAAAAAAATAAATAAATAAAGTCAAAAACAAACAGGAAACAACCAAGCAGTGTAAACCACGTAAGAGTGGTGTCAATGTCGACTCGAACCCGTGAGCGGAGGGCTGGTTTCCTCGGGTCTATCTGAATTCTTGACCGCGGTGCCAGCGGCGAAGTGCCTTTGATATTCTGGAATGATAAATGGATGTCAGGAACGTTCTACTTTCAGAAACCGCGTGCTTGTGTATTGCTAAGGAGCAGGTCTAAGGGATCTGTGGTACAAAAAAAAGGTTGAAACGTTTTTATATTTACTCATCTGTGTTAAATAATGACAACGACCCCTGGGATCTGTCTGCTTCGACATATCTCTGGGATTTTTCTAGAACAATCTAAATTCCAGACACTCTCCTCTAATAGGTCATATGTCTGATCAATATGCCCCTGTATTTGAGTTGGAGAATATGAACATAATACCTCAGTCCCATTTTTTGTCCCTTTCAGATTCCTAATTTTTTCTGGGTCCTCCCTAATTTCTTCAAATGTCATAAAGATCAAACATAGGTCAATTTCTTTTTTTTGCATTTATGTTTGACAAATAGCAGAAGTAATTCTAAAATGACTGGGCTCGATCCCCAGTAGGGGGCATATAGGAGGCAGCCAATCAATGATTCTCGCTCATCTTTGATGTTTCTGTCTCTCTCTCCCTCTTCCTTCTTCTCTGAAATCAATAAATATTTTTTTTAAATAGTAAAAATAATTAATAAATCTGAAAACTTTTTTTTAACATATTTTATTGATTTTGTACAGAGAGGAAGGGAGAGAGATAGAGAGTTAGAAATATGGATGAGAGAGAGTCATCGATCAGCTGCCTCTTGCACACCCCCTTCTGGGGATATGCCCGCAACCAAGGTACATGCCCTTGACTGGAATTGAACCCGGGACCCTTCAGTCCCCAAGCCGACGCTCTATCCATTGAGGCAAACCGGTCCCGGCTAAATCTGAAAACTTTTAAAAAAGAAATATTTTAAGTTGATTTTTAGAGAGAGAGGAAGGGAGAGGGAGAGAAAAACATCAATGTGTGAGAATGATACATCAATTGACTGCCCTGCATATTCCTACCAGGGTTTGAGCCTAAAACCCAGGCATGTGTCCTGACCTGGAATTGAACCTGCCACCTTTTGATATACAGGATGATGTTCCAACCAACTGAGCCACACTGGCCAGGGCTGAAATCTTTTTAAAAAGGATAATAAAGAAAAAGACAAAATATTGTGCTCTGACTGGGATCTCTCTTGGTCCATGGGACAATGCTCAATCCACTGAGCCACCACAGCCGGGCAAGACAAAATATTTATGAGTAGGAATGAGAAAGAAGACAATCATAGATACAACAGTGATAAGAATTATAAGAAAACTAAAGGCACATTCTGCACTGGGCGGAGGGGGGGACGACCACTCCCTCAGCCTTGCCTGTGCCTTCTTGCAGTCCAGGAGCCCTTGGCGGATGTCCAACTGACAGCTTAGGCCCACTGAGCAGACATCCTTAGTGCTCCAGCGGAAGCGAGAGAGGCTTCCACCACTGCTACTGTGATCATCAGTGGTGAGCCCAACTTCTGAGTAACGCTCCCCCTCTGGGAGTGCACTGATCACCAAGGGGCAGCTCCTGTGTTGAATGTCTTCCCCCTGGTGGTCAGTGCCTGTCACAATAACTGATCATCACTATTGGATCATTTGCATAATAGTCTTTTATTATATAGGATACTACCTACAACTTGAGGGCAATGCATTTGAAAAGTTAGCAGAAATGAGTAATTTTCAGTTAGATTATAAATTATACAAGTTAATTAGAAAATAAAAGGAAAACTATAATGTAGCAAAAAATTTCACAGTATACAATAAAAGAGATTTGGGAGGTGATTAGAGATCTCCCATTTACTAAAAGGATCAGAACCTGATGGTTTTGCAACTAAGATCCCTCTCACCTTTAAAGAACAAACAAGTCCATTATTATTTGATCTGCTAGTTCAAACAAAATTTGGAAAGCTCCTTAATGCATTTTATAAAATTGACATAAGTTTAAGAGCAATCTTTGATAAAGATAGTTATAAAAAGGAACTATGGACCATCTTTGTTAACAAAGAGAACAAAAATTCCAAATGAGATATTAGCAAATGGAATTCAGCACTCAAGAGTAATGCATTGTGGCTGAAACTGGTTTGGCTCAATGGATAGAGCGTAGGCTTGGGGATTGAAAGGTCCCGGGTTCGATTCCGGTCAAGGGCATGTGCCTTGGTTGCGGGCATATCCCCAGTGGGGGGTGTGCAAGAGGCAGCTGATCGATGACTCTCTCTCATCGATGTTTCTAGCTCCCTATCTCTCTCTCTTCCTCTCTGTACAAAATCAATAATATATATATATATATATATATATATATATAGTAATGCATTGTGACCAAATTGGATTATTTCAAACATAGGAGGGTGATTAGGTTCTCAGGAAATGTATCAATATAATTCATAAACTCCATGAATCAAAGAAAAGCCATAAAGATCTTATCAGTAGATGCTAAAAATAAAAATCTTAGAAGGTATATGGGGGAATCTAACATACAATATGCTGATTTTATTTATTTATTAATATATTCTCATTGGTTTCAGAGAGGAAGGGGGAGGAAGAAAGGGATAGAAACATCAATGATGAAAGAATCATTGATTGGTTGCCTTCCACATGCCCACAACCATGTCCTGACTGGGAATCTAACAGTAACCTTCTGTTCAAAGGTTGATGGCAATCACTGAGCCATACCAGCTGGGCTACAACTTGGTGATTTTTGTTAATGATATTGTATTATATAATTGAAATTGCTGAGAGAGAGTATATCTTAAGTGTTCTTAACACACACACACACACGTAACTATGTGAAGTAATGGATGTGTTAATGTGTTAATTAACTTGATTATGGTACTCATTTCATAATGTGTACATATATTAAATTATCACAATGTATTTCTTAAAAATCATGTTGCACAACCTAAATAAATAAAATTTTTATTTGTTAATCAAACCTCAATACATCTGAGAAGGAAAAAAAAGACACTTTCCTTGCTAAGTATCTGCGTAAATCTCAGATGCTCAAAACATTTTAGTAAAATTTGAATATGTTTACATAATTTAAAGAGAAAAACATTTAAAAATAAAAGCATCTATTTTTATTTCTTATATATTTTTAAAAATGAAATAAAGTTAAAGTGTAGAACCTTGATATAAAGTAGACCAAAAGAGCACACTCAGAAAAGAAAAAAGTACTTGACTTAATGAAACCATTAAAATAAATTTAAAATCAGGAGAGGGGGGACTTAGGGAGAGGGTATGCAATGGAGAGAACACAAAGTTACTATTTAAAAAAATATGTTTTTAGCCCTAACCAATTTGGCTCAGTGGATAGAGCGTTGCCTGCGGACTGAAGAGTTTCAGGTTCAATTCCGGTCAAGGGCATGTACCTTGGTTGCGGGCACATTCCCAGTAGGGGGTGTGCAGAAGGCAGCTTATCCATGTTTCTCTCTCATCGATGTTTTTACCTCTTTATCCTTCTCCCTTCCTCTCTGTAAAAAATCAAATATATATATCTTTCAGAGAAGAAGGGAGAAGGAGATAGAAACATCAATGATACAAGAGAATCGTGGATCAGCTGCCTCCTGCACCCCCCATACTGGGGACTGAGCCTGCAACCTGGACAAGTGCTCTGACTGGGAATCAAATCATGATCTCCTGGTTCATAGATCAAGGCTCAACCACTAAGACACACCGGTAGGGCAAAAAGGCCTTATACCATAAGATGGATTCTTTCAAACAGACAAGAAGGGAACTAACAACCTAATAGAAAAATGGGTAAAGGACATGAAGAAGTAATTCACAGAACAGATTTGAACGAGTAAGTATATGACCCCAGCAACTGTAGCTCAGTGGTTGAACGTCAACCTATGAACCAGGAAGTCACGGTTCCATTCCTGGTCAGGGCACAAGCCAGGTTGCAGGCTTGGTCACCAGTGTGTGGCATGCAGGAGGCAGCTGATCAATGATTCTCTCTCATCATTGATGTTTCTATCTCTCTCTCCCTCTCCCTTCCTCTGTAAAATCAATAAATTTTTTTAAAAAAGAAGCATATGAGGAATACTTAAGCTCACAAATAGCCAAGGAATGCAAACTAAAGGAACAATGAGATATCATTTTATACTTATCAGACTATGAACTTTTTAAAATTTCAGATAATATTTATTGCTGTGGGGTTGCTGGAACGGCATT